TTAGATGTTGAGGGTGTTTGTGTAGTCGACTGTGATCAAAAATGCTGTTAAATAAGCAAGAAGGGAGAAAAGATGATTTGGAGATGGCATCTACTGATTTGGGTGATTAACCTCCACTTGCAAATACAGTATCAGAGTTCTTTCTCTGACCATGACATAAATCTCCAGAGGCATTCCCACAGGTAATGTCAGCCACTTGCTGAACCTCCACAGGAGCAATGTAAATGCTGTGTGCCTTCAGAGCCATGCTGGGCAGTAAAACTGTCATTTGCCAGTTCTGTGAGGACAGAGACATAGCTGAAAGGAAAGCTGTCTGAGGTCTGTCAACAGTTCATAGATCCAAAACTTAAGAACATGAAACTTCCAGAATCAATAAATCAGGTATCTCTGCCCAAACACGGTAAGTTATATGAATGTTTGAAATCAATTCCTTTAGATTGAAAGGGCCCCAGAAGTGAGACTACTTTCCCAGTTAGTCTCACCTAGAACCATGAATAAGAAATGGGAGAAAAAGACAACAAACAATTAGTAGTAGGGGCAACACTACGAAAAGCATTTTTATTGTTAGTGGGATTACCATTTATCCATCTCTGCTGAAACTACTCTTTCTTTTCAAAGGTCCAGTGCAATGTTCAGCTGACTTACCAGGCTTGTGTTCCTTGGTAAACCACCTTACATTGCCAGGTCAGTCAGTACTGCCTCACTCTAATTTCCTTATATGATGCCGCTGTAGAAATTGGCACTCACAGTGCCTACTGTTTGGGAGATGGATATAAACGGATGACTTCTTCACGTACGGTATGACTTTTACACATTTAAAAAGTTAAACCCATTCACTGGGATTGAACTAATGAATTATTGTTTTTAATGATCTTTACCACATTCCAGTTTTTTAAATACCTGATTTTTTTTGTCTTGCAGAACAGGCTTCACAAATTGTTTTACATCAACTGGCAAATTAATCTGAGTTTTTATCCTATAGACAGAGATATTGAAGGGATAAAATAAGGCTGTTTTGCGGACCCAAGTATAGGTCTTTTTGTGCTCCTCCCATCTACCAAATCCTACTGTCTCTATTTCACCACAATAACAATTTTCTTAATCGATTTTTGTCCCACAACTATCAGAAGAAAGGGGGAGTAATATGAAGCACTTACACAAAATAATGGCTTAGTGTGAACGTATGTATAATTCACAGTAGGTGAAAGAGAGCATAAGTTTGCTGGAAGTCATCAATAACCAATAAAAAAGCCCAAACTTCAGGCAAAGCACTTACAAGTTTTACTGAAGATATTTTCACAAGTAGCTGTTGTGCCAGCAGATGAGGTATGGTGTAGCTCCATGTATAGATGCCAATGTGCAGTAGCATGTTTCTATGCTGTTTCAGTTCTCCAAGCTGTTCATGGTTTGATGCTCTTTCACAGTGTCTCAGTTTGAGACAATTTGGAGGGGTGAAAACCTCGGATGGAAGTCTACTTCCTCAGATTCAATACCACTGGTTCTCTCCAATACAAAGAGAGAGAGACCAAATATGCATGAATGTAAGGGAAAAAAATAACTCTTTACCCATAACAATACCAATAAAACTAGGTTAAGCTAACCAGTGAGGAGAAAATTCCCAAGCCCCCACACTATTTATTGAAGCAATCTTGAAGCACTGATATTAAAGCTAGCTAATTATTAAGTAGAGAATGATGTTACTCACCCATACCAACAACCATGCTCAGTCTCAAGGATTAACCTCAAGGGGCATCCCCTCTCAAGGGAGGAATCTACACAACACACTCCTAGAAGGGGTATGTTATAGGTCCCTGGTGTTAAAAAGTGGGACTGAACTTTTATAATATAAAGTGATTGACTGTTGGTCATGTGTTTTCAGGCTAGTTGTGTCAGCTCTGCAGCCTTTAGCTCAGCAAATTTAAACAAGTTATTGGTACTATCCAATTGTTGGTTCCTTTATCAGGAACTTTGCCTGCCACATCCTCACTTGTGCCAGTTTCTGTCAGGAAACACTGTTTGAATGTTTAGCTTTGGGATTGTTGAGTCAGGCTGGTCTCAGCATTCTTCAACACCAAAAGCATCATGATCCGCCTTCTCAATCCACTGCTGATAACCTTTGCAAAGGGTAAAGTTAAAGCTTAGGCAGAGCATGTTTCTAGAGGCTTCACTCAGGATTTTCTTGCAGGTGGCATTCAGAGGTCTTGCTCTTTGGATAGATCTTGGAGAGGTCTTGACTTTTGGAGAAAAAAGTTGTTTTAAGGAAAAATTGTGGAATGAAATGTCACTCTATAACTCATCTAATGTAAACAGATCTACTCATAAAACTAGCTCAATTTTTATACATCCTAGAATATTTGCATTGGTCTATTGGGCTTTTTTAATAAGCAATGCTTACACAGGGTTTTTCATCCGTTTCTCCAACTCGATATCACTTCTAATCCATTGATCCATTAACGAGTACCTGCAAACAACAAATTGCGCATCCTTATGTGTGGTACTTCTGAGCCTTCAGATCACCATTATAATAACCAGGGAGAGAATATAAATGCAGAAGAGAAGGTTTGGGCATAAGCTACCAAGTACAGTCCCTTCATTATTGCTGACTTGCTAAATGACCTTGCTCAAATCCTTCTTGTGTGCTCAGTTTCCTCATCTGTTTGGGAATGATAACATTTACTCCTCTTTAAACCTATCTGATCTGGAGATCTGTTAACTGTTATAATTAGAAAAAGAGAAGTAGGGAGGATCCACCTTCAAAAGAGGGGAGCAATCAATCTAATACTGTCCCTTTTTTCAAAAAGACTCGGTGTGTTTGTTGCCAGTCAAGCCTTGCTTCCACTAGCAATATTCACTGCAACAGTATCGTGTTGAATTACAGGAAGTTGCCTTCTGTCTGGCACTTACAGAAATGACTATCTGTGTTTTGACTCTCTCTTTTATTAGACACTTCCCACTTTGGTGTAAGTTTTGGCACCAACTGGCTTAGGGACTCAGTGGGGGATTTTTATTTGGCTATTTTAACACTGGTACCTTCCTACTCATGCCCCATTACCATGGCTTACGCAGCAAACTGTTTACTCTGGTATGGTTTGCAAATCAGTCTTATCTGTGCAGTTATTTACAGTATGTGATGAAGAATAGGTAATAGTACAGTGTTTTCCGTGTATGGAAACAGTGACAGTGATGTGTTTTGTTTACAGCCATTATGGTGTTTTTTCTCTATGCTCTATATAGATCTTGTTTTGGGGGGGTTGCTTTTGCTGGAAGAAGCCTCTAACAGTCTGCCGTAAACATACATGCACAATTTTCTAATTGAGAAAATGTTATTTTCTTGCTTTTTTAATGCAAATTGCACTCAGCATCTTGAATAGAAAGGAGGAGCTTTATCACATTGCCTTTCATATCACTTCTAAAAGAGTGAGGCTGACCAGAAAAGGCACTTGTGTGCATGATCCCATCCATCTCTTTGCCAGCAGGTTAGTCAGTCTTCCTCACTGCTGTCTGTTGAATCTGTACCTTGTCGATTTAAAGTGTGCAAGAGGAAGACTCACCCAAGGTCACAAAGCTGGGAAAATTTAATGAGGTTAGGTAGCTGAGTGCAGGAAGAGCCCTGGCAGTGTTCCTACCTGGACTTGACCACTGTTGAAACCAGAGTCCTCTGGCAGCATCTCACAGCACCACAGGGAACCCATCTGTCATAGGCACATATGCTACCTCCTTGAATGACTCCTTTTTGTCAGTACAAAGAGGATGAACTAAACATTTCTCCAAGGAACCTGAACTTTGTATGGTGAGAAAGCACAATAGGGTCATTGATGTACCCTGGTTATTATTATTTGCAAACACTATATTTTTATATATGTTTTATATATTGACTATATTTTTATTTCTATGTCTTGGAAACATTTGGAGATCTACTTCTGTCCTGGGAGAGCTCACATACCCTCAGTGTCTGGGACCAGCCTTCTGTAGGACCCCCTAGCCCCACCATCTCCTGTCAAGGGCCCAGGGGATGTGTCCCAGCTCAGCCTGGGGCCTTTAGTCCCTGCCTGAGCCATGCTGTACATGGGCCCATGTCTGCCCCTGTCTCCTGGATGGGCCTGGGATCTGCACTGCAGAGACCTGCTCTGTGGGATGGACCCCTCAGACCTAGGTCATAGCTCGTTATGCAGAACTCTAGGAGTAACATACTGTGTTCTATCCTATTTGTATTCCTGTTCCTTGCATGCACCATGACTCGAATAATGAGCAACAGTTTAATTTGCCTGAAATTCCATGAGCTTTTCAGCATCAAAAACACTTTCAAGGACACATAACACAAAAGCAACAACCAGAATTGGGATTTTATTTTTGGTTTTATTTAATTTTTATTTTTATAAATCCATATCAGAGCCACTCTTCACAAGCATGTGTAGCCAGGAGCAGGCTGATATGTCTCAGTTTAGTTTGAAAAAACATCCTTTGCAGTCTGTCAATCTGACAGAGCTGCAGAAAGCAGCAGAAGGAATACAGGCCAAGCAAACCTGTTTCCTGAAGAGAACATGAAGAATTAGGATCAGGAACAACCACACAAAAGAAGAAAAAAAAAGAAGTATGGATGTGGGGCGTGAGGGGCCATCTCTGTGGTGCATGAGCAGCTGGCAGCAACCTGGCCAAAAGGGACTGGAAGAGCCTGACCAGTCATCATGCTCAATGCTGCAGAAGAATCAAAAAAACCTGAGTGATGACTGTCAGTCTGCACTGGTGTAAAGTTCCTTCCTGACCCCAGCACTGGTGATTGGCTATTCCCTGAGCATGTGAGCAAAACCCACTTCCGCATCATCCCACAGGCTGGTCACACCTCCCAGGAGATGCCAAAGACCTGTTCTCCCCCAGTCTGGAGCCATCTCAGGGCTTCTGACAGTGGCCACATGCCCTTGAGCGAAAGACTGGCAGAATACCAGTGAATGCCCCAAACCACTTGGACCCCTGCTAACATCTCTGCATCCCATTTCTTACAGATTCTGCTCCTGGCTCCACAGGAGGTGAGGATGGAGAGCTCTTTAGTGTCACAGGTACTGACCAAGAAGTAACTGTCTTTGGACTTTCGTTGAGATGTCTCATTGGAGAAAAGTGAATTTTGTATAAACACAGATTTTCTTTAACATTCTTAGGAGACTGAGTCTCCCCAGGTTTAGACCATTTCTTGAGTGACTCTAATGAAAGTCTTGGTTCTCCTGCAGATCTTGGTCCTGCAGATCTTTCTGGCAGTTACATCAGAAAACCTCCTTTGTTGACAAGGCTGCAAAAGGGAGAAAGATTTTTCCCAGCGGTCTAGGCTCCTTTCTCATTTGCAGTAGTGTACTAAGAGCAGCTCTGGCATTCATTCTTTCATCTGCTGTGCAAATCAAAGTATGATGTTGACATGGGGCCAGGTGTTTATACCAAGTGTCAAGTGGGAGTCCTGACCTCTCTCTAAAGAATCAAAGAAAGAGTTGTATCAAAGAAAGATTAAGAGGAAATACTGTGTGGATGCTGCCCTAGACAAATCTGAGATTTGCACAGCTGCTGATTTGTAAGATGGTGGGTTGCTGTCTTGGTTTACTGACAGTATGTCCCAGGAGGTGGGACCTCCAATGGAATCGAAACCCCTCCCCCCCAAATCAAGAAAATGTTTGAAATTGCAAGGTATTTGAGTGACGTATGAAAAATTAATAACAGTATTAATAAAAATGGAGAACAAAGCAGAACAAACCCAAACCCAAACAATAACAAGAAAATGTCACCTTAAACCAATCTTTCAGTACTGTGGCACCGAGACAGCAATGAGGTTCCGACGGAGGTCGTGTGCGGAGTGAGGGTGTGGGGATGTGCAGAGCAGCGTTGGCGCCAGAGGTGCGGAGTGAGCAATGGCGGTAAGCAGCAGCAGGGACTGTGGGGCGAACAGTGGTCATGGGCTGCAGTGGTGGGCAGCAACGGCAGCTGTATGCAGTGCTTACTCTGAGATGATAGTGGCAGCAACAACATCAGTGGTGAGCGACGGCAGGGAGCGTGGGGTGAGGATCGATGGGGCTCCAAGCTGCAGGGAATAGCAGGGTCTGGGCAGCAGCGAGGAAACTGCCAGAGCCGAGAACCATGGCGAGAGAGAGCAGCCTGATCATGCTTCTGCATTCGCACCCCTCTATCGGAACCAGAAGGAGCGAGGTCTGGTAGCACCAGCACTTTTATGCTTCCTAAACTTTTGTGATATCTCCTGCAGCGACCTCTCCTGCCCACCAGCCCTTCCTACCCCCACGGGGGGTTGGGGACTGTCCAAAACAGCGTGATGATATGAAGACATTCAACAAAGAAAATCTTCTTCATTTAGGTAAACTATAACTGTTGCACATCCTGCCAGTCAGAGTAAACAGAGCAGCTTAGGCACTCTTAGCCTCCTTGCTGAATTAGTGTCTGGATAAAACACAGATAGTCTGTTTGCATGATGCTACTTGTGTAACTATTCTAGTCTACACTGATATTGTTGGTAGTACACTGGCACTACCAACAGTCTGCTACCAAATCCCTATTCTCTGCTTTCATTGCCTTGATGATAGCCATGATCTTAAAAAATAATTATTTTCCCTAAATTAAAAAAGAAAAAACCCACCACCAACAACAAAACAAAACAAAACAAACAAAAACAAACAAACAAAAACAGACAAACAAAAACAAACAAACAAGCAAAACCCAAAAAACTATCACTGCTCATGTGAAAGTCCTGAGAATCATAACCTATTGGACCCCCCATATAAAAACCCTGTGAGGGTTTTTTATTGTCATTTTTATTCCCATTTTAGATGCAGAGAAACTGGAGTGAATGTTGTAGTCCGGGTCACATAAGAAGTCAGTGAGCAATCTTGGAACAGAACGCTAGAGTCCTAACAGAAAGTCTTCTGCCCATCAGTTTGAGTCACTGAAGTTTTAAGAAATTAAAAGTCATGAATCCCCTTTATCCACTCCTGTATGAAGATGATAAATACTACTGTTACTATTCTGGATAAACCTCTTAAAACTATTAGCAAAATCATATCTTCTGGCAACAACTCAAATAAAATTCCAGGTATCAATAAACATTTCCCCACTCTGAGAAAGGGAAAATTAAATAACAGTTTGGCTGAATCTCTGCTGAGTACAGAAAATGGAATAAATATGGAAAGTGAATGTGCCTCAAAGAACAGTAATTCACCTGGATATTTTTCAACCTTTTAATGAATGTGAATTTAATCTAGTTGAAAATAGGAAGGATTATGACTATGAAGAAATCGAGATGTGTCTTTCTAAAGTTGATGAAATCTGTAGTTTTTTATTTCCCAAGATATTTTGGAGCATGATTAATCATTCAAGGAGCTTAACAAGATTGGAGTGTGACTGTTCTAGCATTTGATGTTAGCTAGCTCACACAGGGGAATCTTTTTCACTTAGGATTCATGCTGAGAGTGATGACTTTTCTTTTAAAATGCTTATCATACTAATTATTGAATTGGTTATTTTGCAAATAATAACTAAACATAAGATGAAAGCATTTTGATCATGATCATGTTTAATTTTTTAGTCTACCTATGTAAAGAGGTAAGAAAGCAAGACATAGATTCAAATAAACAGAGTCAAGAAGTTGAGAATGGTCAGATTCATATGTATTCCACTTCTGACTTTCACAATGGCCTGTAGTTTGCTGGAAAATCAGACAAAATGCATCAGATCTACCTATTCCTGAATTCTGGGAAACATGATCTCTATCCAGATTTATTGTTTTGAAATCATCTTGATATTTTGGGTACAGTGAGGTGTTAAGCTATATATATTTAGATAGGTAAGTATAAAGTTGCTTCTTCATTTAGGTATGACAATTTAGCTACTGTCTAAACTGTTGTTTCCTAACCCTGAGAATGTTCCTTGGGATTCAACTGTGTTGATATAGTCTGCTGGGATGTCTGAATAAGGGCATGATTTCAAGATCCAGTGTTTCAAACTGGTTAATTGCCCAAATTTCAATTTTGGAAATGCTTATGTTTCATTTTAGAGTTTTACATCTATATTTATGATTTTTTTTTTCTGAATGTTTTCTTAACCCAAAAGAATCCCGGCTTTCAGGCTGAGAAACCCTACTGTGCCCATACAGGCTGTGCTGAATGGGATGGACACAGTTTCTGAGGAATTGATTTCTTGTCTACTAGTGAGTGAAAGCTAGGCATGATAACCATCGTTGTTATTCCTTTGTCACCACCAGCCATCAAACCTCAGCTGCATCACCTCAGGAGGCCCACTCACAGCTCAGGAGACTATTTCCCTGCCTTCCACAAGAAATTGGAGGAACATCAAGTGAGATGTAAAGTGCTTGACGAGAGGGAAAGGATAAAGAAGATTCAACATATTTCCCAGAGCTGGAATAGGAAATAGCAGAAGAGTTAAAGAGGCATCTTGTGGAATGATGCTTCTCACAGGCAGATGGAGGATATTTTGCACAGGCCATACTACATTGTACAGCAGCTGCAATTTTGAATAAAAGCAAGTGTATGATTTAACTAAATTATATAATGGACATTTTGTTAGAAATGTTCTCAGTAGCCTTATTATTGCAGCATATGCCCATTTAGTACTAAAGTATTGGGCTGCTGCTTTAAAAGATGTAACTGTATATGGATTGTCTCCTATCAAATTAAGCCAATGCTTTCCTAGATTATTGGGCTCCTTATGGCGTTCTCAATGCGACCTTCTGCTTACCACAGGTAAAACAATAACTCTTATTTCAGAAAGCAAGGGAAAATTTTTTATTGTCTAGCAGTACTGAGAATAAATGTCCTCCTGTCATAGTGTGACCTATCAGGAGGATGCAGGTGGAAGGCTGGAGTACAAAGTCCTCTCCCTTCACTCATTGGAAAAAGAACACATAGCACAGCATTAAAATTGTTCTTTGCTCAAACTCTGTTGAATGTTAAATAACACTGATTGTTTTCTATGGCATTAATTTAGTTGAGTTTGATCTCATGTGTTCTTTTGATGGATAGTGTCCCATGGCTCTGAGTTTCACAGTTGAACGTGACCCTTCTGAAAAAGTTGCTCTTGCCCCCAGATTTTGCACTTTGAGAAACAGTGGCAAATAGCTCTCTGCCCTCTTTCTGGAAACCCCTGGTGGTTTACATACTACCTCAATTGTCCCTTTCCAGTCCTTTTTTTACTCTCCTCAGAGGCAAACCTGCTCTACTTTATATCTTCCTTGCTGCTCTTCACTATATCTCTCTTTGTTTTAATCTAAGGAGAGAATGAGTACTGCACGTGGCTCGTGTCAGGTACACCAGAAAACTATAAAATAGTGTAATGACACTTTCCATTTCATCTTCCAAGCTTTTCTGAATAGATTTTTAAGTTGTACTTTCATTTTTGAACCTCCTTGAGGACTGAGCAGTAGTTTCTGTAGAATTACCTATAATAAATACTAATTAATTTATAGCCAAAACACACATACAGAGTTGCGGAGTTGGGGTTTCCTCTCCCTATATGCCTCATTCTGCACTTGCCAACACTGAATTGGTGGTTTTGCCAATTACACTGAAGTAAGCTGCTGCTTCTTATTTTTCTATTTCTTCTCCACTTTACATTCTTCATTTCTGTTTCTTGCTTGCTTTCTTCTTCTACCAAATCACGTCTTCTGGATAAGCACATTGAATAGCAGAAACAACAATCCTCCTTTACTATGAATCCTGACCATTTCATAACAATTTTTAATTTATTTCTGCTTTTTTTTTTTTCCCCATTGCTAACTAGTTGTTTACCTATCTTAAGATCATATGTTGCAAACTTCTTTCAATCCATGACAGCTCAGTAGCTTTGACAGTCTTTGGGTCAAACCCTTGTCAAAATAGAGAACAGCAAAGCATATTGGCTCCTTCAAGGAGTGTCGAGGTTTGTGAAGCAAAATTTCTCGTACAAAAACTTGGCTGAACACTCTCTGTCATAAGTATTCCTGCTATGAGTATCCCCACTACCTACTAGTTCTATTATTTATATTTGTGAAAAATTTGCTCACTGTGAATTTGCATTGTTATACATTACAAGTTTGTAATCATGTCTAACAGCAAAACTACACCAGCTGGTGTATCCACCATTGCTGCAGGACAGTCACATTGAAATCATGGCTGGTTGTTGAATGAAAAAAGCCAAGGTGTATTTCCAGTGTTATAGATGCCCTTCACTGCAATTCCAGGCACACTCGCCGCAAGGTCTCACACCTTTTCACAGTGTTTTGCTAGACATCTTCACTGCCTGAGTACTCTGATGTCACCATGTTTCAGTTATTTTCACAGTTGTACCCTGTGCTTCATGTTTGTGATACTGACCTTCACCACCACCAGCACTTGTGACTCCAGCAGCGGGGCTGGGTCACTGCCTAAACCAAATGTGAAAAGTAATGCACTTTAAAGCCTCCTGCTTATGAAATATATTTATCTCCAGGAATTTTCTGAGAACTGTATTTTGCTTGTAGAATACCCTAAGATATTTTACACAAATTGGCTGTATACTGCATGTATTACATCCATGTATATATATGAATATGTGCAAAATTACTTCTGTGTCATTTCCTTCCCTTTAGGGCAGTTTACCTAATAGAGAACCTGACTGTTCTCTGGACAAGTGGACAGCACTAGGTCACCTGTAGAAGTTGAATCACACAAGACTAGAGTAGTGGGGCAAAATCACCTCCCTCGACCATGCTGCTTTGGATGCAGCCTGGATATGATTGACTTTCTGGGCTGCAGTCACACATTGCTGGCTCATGTCCAGCCTCTCATCCACCAGCACCCCCAAGTTCTTCTCCCCAGGGTGCTGTTTATCTATTCATCCCCCAGACTCCTGATACTGGGGGTTGCCTCGATCCACATGTAGTACCTTGCACTTGGTCTTGTTGAGTGTCATGAAGTTCACATGAGCCCACTTTTCAAGTTTCTCCAGGTCTCTCTGGATGGCATCCTGTACTTCAGGAGCATCAACTGCACCACTTAGCTTGGTGTGTCATGTGGAGTATATATGGTTCCTAAACTTTATTGGAGTTTTGATCAGTTTCCTCTTTGATCTCATTTTTCTCCAGCTAAATCAATTCTGTATTGAACTGCTGTCCATTAGAATGTCCTCTAGAAGGTGGCTGTTCACCCAAGTGGTTTAGAGAGGGGTTTTTTTGGTTTTTTTCTGGAGCCGGGGAAGGTGAAGAATGCTGCCAGTTACTCACTGGTATTGGAAAGATATCTCAGAATGTCTCTTTCCTCTTTCAAAGCCTGGGGCTTTTGGCTGAAATGAAATACTGCAAAGTGGGAGACAGGGGATGTTGTTGCAGACTGTTCTTAGTAAAACTTGGATGTTTTACAGAAATAATTCCTAAGTTTAGCACTTAGTTGTGCTGATGGCATCCAGCCTGATGCATAGAGATGTGTAATGGAGCCTATGGACTTATCCTCTCAGTCCAACCCTGACATCTAGTGTACAACAAAGGAAAATTTTCCACAAATGAAATCCATGTTATCTGGGGGAGGGCCAGCTTTGAAATGCTTTTGATCCTTTTTTGTATTTATGATTTTGGAGATAACCACTTGCTCCCAGCACAGAAATAAGTCTGTCTGTCTAGACAAATTTTATGATCTTAGATCCCTGATGACATTTAAATTTGTTATCACGAACTCATTACAACTATCAACACTTGCAAATTTAATCTTTTTTTTTCTCTATAGTCCATTCATGAACAGAGTCTTTGCTCTAATCAGTGGATCGCTTCACTACAGCAGAAAAGTTTGTCGCTTTGTTATTTGAGAAGGACTTCTTTGTTTATATTTTTAGGAAAGGATTAAAGCCTGAATTAAAATATGAATGTTAAAATCCATGGTGAGTGAGACACAGAAAGACTCTTGAGTACTTTTTCCTTGATTCCTTATATTTTGTGTTTTTCCTCGGGACTCCTCATTGTTCCAGCACCCCATTGTTGTGGTTTCAAGACTAAATTATATTTATTGTGAACTTTATGTGAATTTTTAAGACAGCTGACAATCACTCCCTTTACTCCAAACCTTTCTCCTGATCTCTCACAGACCTGCTAAGCATCACTAAGAAGCCCCCTTGATATGGATCCTGGGCTATAGTCACAGAATGACTGAAGCATGATCAATGCCTCTGGAGTTGGCCAGTTCAAGTAGGTTCCACTGAGGCAGGTTACTCAGGGCTGTGTCCAGTTTGGTTTTGAAAATATCCAAGGATGGAGAGTCTGCAGCCTCTCTGGACTATCTGTGACAGTGCTCAGTAGCAAAAACATGTTTTCTTACTTGTAAGTGGTGTTCCATGTGTTTCAGTTTGCGCCCACTGCCTCTTGTCCTGTCAGTGGATACCAATAGGAAGAGCCTGGTTCCCTCTTTATTCCTCCCCATCAGACATTTGTGTGCATTATTATATGCATTGATAAGCTCCCTTTAAGCTTTCTCTTCTCCAGGCTAAAACAGAATACAGAAAAACAAACCTGAGACAGGTATAACTTTGTTTCAGACCCTAAGACCACCTGGGGGCCTAAAATCTTCTTTGAAGGTCAGAAAAAAATTGACAACTTGGAAAAATCCAAAGCTCACAGTAATGTGTCTCACAGTCATATATAGACATGTTGCCGTTTAGAGGATCATTGCAGCTGAAAGAATAAGCACAAATGCTCCATCAAATACAGTTCTTTTATTTCTAGAATGTGTATAATAATTTAGCAGTCACTTGTCTCTCTGTCCAGCCTGTGTCTTTTCAGGATTTTTCAGGATGTCAGGAATAAGGATGGATTAAGCTTCCCTTTACAGCTCCTGGATCTGACAAACTACATGGGTTCCTCATGCAGGACCATAGGGTATCATACAGTATCATGGGGACATGCAGTATCATGGGGTAGAAACTGGCTTTAAATGTTCACTCGTTCTATTTCTGGATCTACATTGCCAAAATATTGGTATTTCTGTTTGCACCACTGCACTTTAAAAGGCCCATGGCTTTTTGGGAGGGATGCGAGGAACAGAATGATATCTGTTTATTAACTTATCTAAATACAAGTGAGAAGCCAAAATTTCTAATGTGCTTCACTGACAGGCTTTATTGATTTTTGCTTGTAGATGGTATTGCTGGGCAGTCTCTCTGCATACAAGAATACTGTAAGGTCATGTGTAAAAGTGTAATCTCAAAAGGTAGGGATGGCATAGAACATGCAGGAAGATAATCTGTTATGATATCTAAACATATCAATTAATTTATGTGGTCAAAGCATTATACAATTTCAATTTACTAACCACTAAGACAAAATTTCAACCAGACATAAATTCATTGTAAGTTTTGCTAAAGTCAGTGCATGCAAATGCTGCTTTATCTATGAATATACTGTGAGTTTACAATAGCATCATGAATGTTGCTTTGAATTTGTTCCACATATCCCTTGAATCTCATATTTAGCACTACAAAAATGCTCATCACAACCCCTTCAAATAGGTGATGGACTTTCTGTAACCCTTAGCTGAAAGTTGTTAAAGCATAAGGCCATTAAATCCCTTAGTCCCAATTTTATTGTAAATGGACACCTTTGTCTTAGCTTCTAGGTAGACGCTAATTGAGAATTCACTTCAAAAATATTAGCCATTAATGATCTCCTGACTGCAGGCTTTTATTCACTAACTGAAGCACTTCATTCCCTGCTGAGGGCTTGGAGTGGTTGTCCCACCCAGTGCAGACTTCTGGGGTAAGATGCCATTCCAGATAAATATCTGAATGCAAGCCAGCTATCAAGACACAAAGCAGTCAATGCACATAGCAGACAATGTAAGTGACTTCAGTCTGGAGCATCCCAGTCCTAACAGTCCTATGGAAATGCTTAGGTGTGTCTGTGCTTTCAGTTTCCTTTCATTTTTGCTGTGATGGCCTCTGGGGACACTGGATACAAAAGCATTTCTGCCCCAGAACAAACCAACTCCCTGTCATTTGTCTGGGGAGAGCAATTTGTTGGTTTTAGCACTATCTGGTCTTAAATGGAGACTGAATGACAATAAATAAACCCAATAAACCACTGTAGAGTTCACACGTGATTCTGCAAAACCTAAAGGCTTTGTTTTGGGGGAAGGGGAATTGTCTGCCTCATTTGAAAAAAAATTATTTTATTCCCAAACAAAATGACATTTAACACTTTAACTGACTGCAATGAAGCATGTGGAAGCAGACAAATGATTCATCACACTGCTTCCCAGGAACATAGCAAAACCTTCTATTAACTTAATTGATCGAGTGAAAAATTACTTTTAATTGCTTATGTTGCTCCTGAGTGGAAGAACAGAAGATGCTGAATTGCCAGGTTGTGAATATGCAGTTTTAAAAGAATTGCAGAATATGCTTTGTGTTGCAGCATTTTTATGTCTAGACTTCGAGTTGATCTATACAGGGATGGTAAATTAGGCTGGTATGCCATCAGAGATGTCACTCAGACTGTAACTCCTCTTTGCTGAACAATATATAGTGCTAGGCTTAAAGGGCGCTTTTTTTGTTGTTGTTTTGGGTTTTTTTCCCTATTAAGCTGTGTCAGAATTCCCCAGGCTTGGAAACAAATCCTTTTCAGAGCAGTGAAGTCAGTCACATCCTATCTGTGCTCCTGCTTTGTGTTGTTAAGGGCCTTCATGTCTAAACATGTATATTTTCATGTCTAATCCATTGCTGATGTTCATTTGAATCTTTTCAGGATTCCACACTCTCACTCTTGCTGTATTGTGCACTGAAAATATTCACCAGCTTCACTGGTAAAGCTAGACTTGAGTCACACATATTCTTTTTCACATACTTGCTGTGACATACTTTACTGTGTACCTTACATTACTGTTGTTATATGACCTATTGATTGTATTTTAAATATTATCTCACTGATAGGTTAACAGGATAAAAATAAGTACACCTCCTAGTTATCAGGTATCCCATTAATAATATAGCAGGCCTCTTGTACACTTTAATATGCAATTATTTATTATAAGCTTGTTGATTACATCTTGAAGCTCGATATTTGCGAATAGACTGCATTCTCATGAAAGATGCTGGGTCAGTCACTGTGGCAAATGAAGTCCAAACTACTGTGGTCCTCAGCTGTCTACCTAAGAGAGTTAAAAAGATAACTAAATTCAGTCTGCCAGGCTAGATGATTTACAGTCTTAAGCTCTGCCAGGGGAGGTTTAAGTTGGATATTAGGAAGAAATTTTTTACAGAGAGGGTAATCGGGCATTGGAATGGGCTGCCCAGGGAGGTGGTGGATTTACCGTCCCTGGAGGTTTTTAAGATGAGATTGGACGTGGCACTTAGTGCCATGGTCTAGCAACCACAGCAGTGTTGGATCAAGGGTTAGACTTGATGATCTCAGAGGTCTTTTCCAACCTGGTTAATTCTATGATTCTATGATTCTACGATCTTCAACCTCTCTGCTCAGGTCGCTAAGGGCCCAGCTGGCAGTGCTACTCTATCTATCCCAGAGCTATTAAGGTAAGCACAAACTGGCCATTCTACCAGGCTGTAGCTCACTGTGAAAATTCTTGATTGAATCAAAGAGGTAAACTAATAAAAAAAATCACATGGTGCTGTTCCACCTTGCAGTAGGCATATGCCATTGAGTAACACTATTCCTACTACTCAGTTGTCACTTTCCACTTTCCAAAAGATTTTCAATCTTTTCCATCTCTTCTAACTGACCTAGAACTCAATTTAAAAAGCAGATGTCAAAAGAAATTCTTTGGAGCAAAAGGATCAACTATCCAACTATTTTATCTTTCACTGACCAGTGGAGGCAGTTATCTACACTGATGTAACAGGCAGGCATTGCACTTCCCTGATATTTCTCTTCTGAGAGCTCTTCCCTCCATCCTGATGTGTCAGTGCTGACAGCCCTTAGATGTAAATTTTCATTCTACAGTGAATCTCTCTTTTCCTCCTCACAAACACAAGTCATGAGCAGATACAGGCAGAAGAAATTTTTGCTTTCAATTTCAGGGTCTGGCTCCTGCTCTCACACCTTCTCCATCTATCACATCAGCTTTGCACATGGGAATTTTCACTGTGGTCAGTGTTATTCCAGAAGAGGAAAGCTGGACAAATTAGGTAAAATGTCAGGAGAAAAATGCGATTCAAATCATTAGTTGGTGTTTTACTGCTCTGGTATCTAGTTCCAGGTACACTCTATGAGTGCTGTCCTTTGTATTAACCCTTATCACCACATTGCACAAAGCTAGATCTGTTCTGAGTTGGATTCCTAATTTACAGAAATGCTGGGAAGCCACTTTTAGTAAACCAACAGAATCATTCAAACCCCAGATGTCAGTGAAATTTCTGTCATCGTCTCCTATGATGCTTGCTGGGAATTCATGAGATGCAGATAAACACTTGATGATAGTTTAAAATCAAGTGCATGCTTGAGAAAATTATTATTTATAAAAATGAAAGAACTTTCTTTTCTGTGTGCTGCCACTTTGAATGACCTGGAATTATTTACACTGCATTATTGGAAATATTACTGTAATCTTAACTGTGGATTGTGTCTCCATCCTTTTCTTCATCTTCCATAATCACTGTTCGTTCTTCTTCTGTAAACAGCTTAGTACCTTAAAAACAGAAGGACACACACAAAAAAAAAAAAAAGAGGAAAAAAGGAGTTGATTTAGCTACTACTTTTTAGACAATACCAGGCTAAAAAGAATTTTTCAGTCCTCTCATACTTCTTGATCCTAACATAGTTTTCCAATATCATGGGAGTTACTCCTCATTTATTTTCAGCACATCGATCTCGTGATATTTAGTGAACTAGAATTGAATCACTGCATTTTTAGCTAAAATTATTAATTAAGCACTTAATTAATTAATTAAAATTATTATTAAGCACTCTTAAATCCGGCATATTTTTCCTATATGTGAAAAGAGATACTGAAGTTTCATTTGGAAACCTGTTAAAAGGGTTTGAGGACCTCAATAAGGGAAAGAGCTTGCCTGATTAAGTAAATGCTGTGATTAATCTTTGTGACTCAACTAGCTTATGTGAACGTGTATATGTTTCCTCTAAGTATATAGCCATATTACTGAGATTTTTCAAGTGCAGATGATAAAAGAGACAAAGGTTAGAACACCAACATGACAAGTGCCATCTCCACTGAAGTTATATAGTATCAGTAAATTGCAAAAGCTACTGAACAATGTGAAAACAGACTTGGGTTGTAGATTATACCTTCCACAAATCTCTGTCTCTCCTCCCTTCTGTTTCTTTTTCTCTCTTATACTTGAACTGGTAAGTCCACCCTATAGGGGTCTTGAGGTTCTTGTGTGATACCAAGATATCACAAATACTGAAAATGCTCTCTTCATTTAGAAAATAAATAAGAATGAAATGAGAACAATGCATTAGGTACAAAATGTTCTTGAACTCTGTTTTAACATATTGTGCTGGATTTGCCTGTTTCCAGTAAAAAACAAGTGACTTGTGTGATGAATTTTATGTCCACATTCCTTGGTGTGGATGTTGACATAGTCTACAAACAGGATGAGAGATATCATTGTGTTGAGACCAATGAAATCTCTCCCAAATTTGGTCTCCTAATGTTTGATACCAGGTGAGCTGTTCTGTCAAAGCAACCTGTTTTGCTTGTTTCTGCATCAAAAACTCTTTTACAGAGAAGGCTTTTAGTCTTGCCAAGGTCTGAAAATAGGGCAATACCACAGAGGTAGATTTTCTTTAACTTTAGAATCTTTTCAGGGGCGATGAATTATACTGCCCTTCATTTATATGCAGTTCTTGTGAACTAGCACTATGAAATAAACTGAAAGGCATAAATAAATGTTAATTTGAAACACAAAGGACTTTATTTGTTCAAGCAGTAATTGAGTAACTACCATTGTTAACTGCAATATGATGACATTTTATGGAGATGGATGTAAATGTGCCCCACACAGACTAATATTCCTATAGACAACTTAGGCAAATATAGGTAAATTTTTTTTTTACTGTTGTCTTTGGGGTTTGGGTTTTGTCTTTTAAGAAAAGGAGTGGAGGGTTTATGTTGTTGGTTTTTTTATATCATGGAGCATTTGAGGAACAAGGAAAACATAATTAAAACATGCTTAAAATGTGAAGCTAGAATGGATGATTTGAGGAGAGCTAACCTGCTTTTTGGGTAAAATCAGGAATAAGATATCAGATATGTGCACTAAATAAATGGATCATGTCCACTCTCTTATTTAAATGATGAAGTGATGAAGGAAAAATGTGTTTATGTAATTCTGATGGCCTAGTTGTAGCACATAAACTAGTCCTTTTAGCAGATGATAGAGACAGCTGAAAGGTAACACCCAGGCAGAGGTCTCAGCTCTAGTAGCACAGACGCTCACCACAATCAATAGCAAGATCATTACCAATTAATCACTTTGGTGACTGATGAACTCCAAAGGTTTCCAGTAGAGTTCATGATTCAGAGCTCAGAGGTGCATGTAGCCCAGAGATGCAGGTTATTAACTTTCCATGGACCACACGCAATTGCAAGGACAAATCAGCCTTTTAATGCAAAACAGTGGAAAGGATATACAAATGGCATGTCAAAGTTGTAGTTATTTCTGTAACACTGGGAAAGGATTTTTTCCTTTGATACAGTGCCACTGATCACTTGTGGAGAAAATGTGCTTTACTGAATGCAGTTCAGAAGTTCTGGGTGTGAACCAGAAGGATATGAGAAGGTCATTTGATTTGGGGAACATTTGTGAGTTAGTCTTTCTCTGTTTACTGATTAAATAACAGTCTGCCTCTGTTTTCCCAGCTGTGTGTATTATGAAATGCAACTCATCCTGCAGATCTATTTTAAGGATCGGTAGGTTGTTCTGTTAATATCTGCCAAGGGATCTGACTAAAGAAATGAGAAGGTAAATACAATGTGGTCATAATTTCCCAACAGAACTTGCAACTACTTGCAATTTTTAGCTAGACACTAGAACCATAAAGGCTCGCAGAGACATAAGAGTTTCTGTTAGGAAGCTCGAACATAGGCAGAAGAAGTTGGTTTAAATCAACTATTTGCCAGGTGCCCCCTAGATCTAAGCCACTCCTCCTAGGCTATAAATCAGAAAATCAACAAAATAGAACCTGTCTACAGACTGCCTATGGACAACTCCTGCTGGAGAGGCAAGAGGTGACATTAAACTTCTGTGCTTCTCATGTTACCCAGAGGTTTTCGGTGGGATTGTGATGTTATCCTAAAGGAGCTGCCTTAACTGGTTTTCTAGGGTATAAGAATGAATAAGTGTTTGAAACTCTGGGTTTGCTATTTACCTCTGATCTGATTTAGAAACCCTAAGCAGCCACATTTCAGGAACTGTCTTCCCATATTTAGGCATGTATTTATATTGTATCTCAAACCCACAGGCCTGAAGAGCTCTCAGAAATACTTCAGTTACTGGAATATATTGCTAAGTGTGGATGACAATAGAGTGTTCCAGAGCTGACTACAGGCTTAGATCAGATTCAAGCCATTTTCGCTTAGGTGAGACAGAAAAAAAGACCGCTGGAATTGTGATTCTATTTTGTGTTTTAGTCTAATCCCTTCAGAAAAGGTGTTGGCTGACTAAAGGCGAGCTGGCTACTGAAGGAGACTTCTGCTCATAGTTTATTGGTATGTACATGGCACAATGTTATATGTGCCACTTCAGTAGAAGTTTGAAGGCTGAATAGATTTAGAAGCCTAACCCTTGTAGAGGAGAATTCAGATAACTAATTTAGCAGCCCCTTTTCTGTACCTGCATTTCCCAATTGTATTGGGTGTTTGTAAGGTGTAAGACTGATTCTGCTTCTCATTTTTACCACATACCATCTAGTAGACACACTGATTTCCATCACCCTTGAACTGGCATCTAGAAGTGGTTTGCAGAGGATATGAAGAGGAAATGTTAGAAATGGGGACAATCTTCATTAGCAGGTCACAAGAGAGGCCATGTAGCACTGAGAGTGCTGCTTAATGAAAATATTCCAATAACAGGGGGACAGGACAGAAAGGCCTGCCTATATTTGTTGAGCACACATAGCCCTGCTGGGGCTTCTCAGGTCTCCAAGTCTATGATTCAGATTTCATTTTGCATATCAGTTCCAAAGAGTTCAGTTTGTTTGTGCTCTGTCTGCTACTTGATGGAATAGCTATGAAAGTAAGCAAGTGGACCAGCCTTCAACCACAATTTAGTCACCTTTTCATAGCAAGTCATGGAGCCATCACTGATGAATTTCAACAAGCAGAACGATGTATGTTGATATGTATCTTGAAAAGAAAATATGCATCCTTAGAATAGGAAGGGAATGAAATTGAAGCATTCAAACACATAAGTTAGTTTGCCCCTGATATGGGCACAAGTCTGCCAATCACTGGAAAACAGACCCAAATACAGGATCTGAAAAAGCTTTACATGGAGAGGCAGCATCTAGCAGGCTACTTTGAATCCATGTTGCGTGCTGGAAGGTGGCTTCACGAGTAGGCAAGAAAGTGTCATTGGAGGTAGAATTGAAAACAACTGAAAATTGCATTAGTTTCTCTCATTTTCCCCATAACAAATGCACAGAGTTTGAATTTTGTCACACATTTGAAGGTCACCACTTTTTTTTCACCTTCCCTTTCTTTCGCTTCCCTTCCCTAGGAGCATCTTATGTAAGCGTGTATGTATTGCACATTATGCCAGAAGCACAGAACTGTTTTTAAGGTGCTGTTAATGAGAAGTTCATCACAGCTTGATTTTCTCAGTGTGCATCAGGAACTGTGGAGTGAAGAGGAGGTTACTCAAAGTACAGCTTTGCTTTAGGTTGTTTGAGGCATTATAGTGCTGGTGACCTAAAAATTTACAGGTGCTGAGGTTTGAAAAGCAGGGCATTAGCTGGCCTGTCAGAAAAGTAGGATTACAGTTTGCAAAAGATAATCAAGTGACCAAGTATCTTCTCTTACTTCCCTTCCTTTCTGTCCCCAGAGCATGAGCAGGGGATATGTAAAAGACTTTTCATGAGTCACCACTGTTATTAGACCAAAAAGGTCCCGTTCATTAAGAGCAGCTAAGTACGCTGGGCAGAGAGCAACTTCCTCCCAGGCATTCCTCTGACACTAGCCACTTTTTGCTTCCTCTTTGGAGGACCCTTCACCTAGGTTTCTTACCCATTATCAAAGGTGGGATGTGTACTGCAGGTGTATCTTTTCTCCTGGGCTTTTTCTGTTCCAGTTCAGTGATCTGAGAGACTGGACTCACTCTCTCTCTCTGTGGGTTCTCTGTGATACCATACCTTTTCAGCAGATTATCAGAAAAGTCTGAAAGTATGCCTGCAAGCAAGGAAAAAAAATAAAAATGCCACTTTAGCCTAGTTCGCATTGAAGAAACTTACACCTGTGTAATTCTCCCAATGACTACTCTGATGTAAGGCTGCATGAGTGCATGATCTGCTGCACAGCATACCTACCCTACTTTTCTTCCAAGTTAATTATAGGCTGTAGACAATAAAGCTATCAGGCCAGCTGGCTTCTGGTTGTATTATTGCACTAAACTGCAGCCCATCAGAAATCATGGTAAAGATTTCTATTTCAGAACCTTAGACATCTTGTCAAAGTAGCTTAATCACACAGATGCTCAAGCCTCTAGTTGGGAACAATGGGATTGCACAGAAATGGCTTATTTTATCTAATGAAACAATGTTTTCTTTATGGTATGGTAGTTGCAGGCACAAAATGCAGCTCTTCAGCCTCTGAGCCACTCTTCCCTAAATGAGAATTGCTGATGGAAGATACATGTGAAAACTGAACAGAGTCAAATTCAATATCTGGATTACAAATACTGGAAAATCCCAGCTGCTTGTTTTTGACTTGATGAATTATTGCAAAAATACAGGGAACCATACAAGTAGTTACTGGCTAACTCTTTGTGGCAGGAGGGCCTACTCCGATAAGGCCTAGAATCCAATCAGAATGCATACAATGCAAGCTCTCATGCAAGCTGTCTGCGGTAAGTTGCCAGTGGTGCCATGGTAATGTTTTTGGTATTCAAGTATGCTAAAACCAGCTGTGAGATCCTGGAGCTGAATGTGACTGAATTATTTATATGGGTTGGAACCAACTTGCTGTCAGTGTTTGTGTGTGTGTGGGGAAGGGCTGGGCCTAGACCTGCAGGAACATGGTAAGGCCTGCACATAAGCCTGCTGAGGGCACAGGGCAGAGCTGGAAGGCATGGCCTGCTGCCCATGCAGAGCACATGGCAGAGCTGAACGCCCTGCAGCCGGGCTGTCAGTCAAGTCCAACCTGCCTGGTAGCCCACCCACACCACACCCCTGCAGCCTGTGACTGACTACAGCACAACTCACTCTGGCCTGGAAGGCACTGACTGGATATCCTGCCTGGGAGGGAAAACTGAACTCTATAAATATACAAGACTCCGTACAGTCTCTTCTCTTCTTTCTTCTCCCTCTCCAGCCAGCACCATATGAATCATCAGATCTTGTTGGTAACCATTTTTTTCCTTTCCCATCTCTCCTTCTCTCTTTCTTCTCTCTTTACCGCTTTTAATCTGTTTTCTTTTGCTCCTTTCCTTCTCTTATGGATAACTTAAAACCAATGAACTGTGTTTTACTAAAGCTGGTATATGGATTGTTTTAGTGGGTGTTTCCTGTGGAATGGGTCTTTGTGCTGAATGATTTAGTGAAATGCTTTTTTCTTGGTTGTATTTTACTCCTGTAAAAACTTTTTTCCAAAATATCTTATTTTTCTCACTAAATTAAAAAGAATATCTCTTAGAGAAGAGTGTGTGACTCTTTCTCTGGATGCTAATTAGAGGTTATAATGAACCAAAAGGCTTTTAAAAAGTCTTAAATAAAAAATGTAACTGCTCTGGGCAGTTTATAGCATAATCTGGAGCGCAACACCAGCCTGGTTCACCAAACTTCAAACACAGATCCTGATTTTTGAAGTTGGATATGACAGATAAAGTGGTATCTGGCCTGTAAATTTTTAACTAGCAGTCAGTCACTTTATATTGTAAAACTCTAGTTCCCTTTCATACAGTCAGGTTCTTCTAACATAACCCTTCTTGGGGTTTATGTGCAGAGACTCCTCTCTTGGGAGGAGAGGCTGAGAGAAAGAGATCTCCCTACAAGCATTGGTATGGATGAGTTACATCAAATCTCTACTTAATAATTATTTCTTTTTGCTAGCTTTAATAAAATTGCTTCAATAATTGATATAGTGCACTATCCTATCTTATACTATACTACTAGTAGTTTTAGTGTTTATATTGTGTAGTAAATAATTCCGATTAAGATCTTTTGTCTGATCATTTGTAATAATAATAAAAATAATAATTATAATTTTGCCAATCATTAAACCTGTGGGACAAAAGTGGTTCAATCTCACCTTTGTAATTCCTTACATTTAAATTGTTGACATAATCTGCAGCTAATTGGATTCAGGTTCATTTAGACTCCTCTCTCAGAAGGAGTTTAGAAAGCAAGGCAGTTGTTTTTGCACCTTGTAACTCAGGGCACCTGAATGACTCTGCACCTCGTGATGGCAAGGTTTTTTGTCTAAGCCTTCCACTCCCACCTGCAACACTCCTCTATGTATGTGCAGCATGGGAAGAACAACTCGATGATACAAGAACACAACTCTCTCCCCGGAGAGCACAAGGAGTGCTTGTTAGCAGAGAGTGACAAACATTTATTCCCTCTGCTGCTCTTGGAAGATCATCAGGTTTCACTGACAATCTCCTGCTTATTCTTCCCTTCCCCAGGTTGGCTCTCAAACATCTGTAGATATGCCGCAACAGGAAGCATCCTACAAGGAGCGCCTTTTTTTGCTGTGGTGATTTCTGGCTTCCTGAAACACCCACCCTTTGCCAGAGTCCCCATAAGCATATGAGCCCTGTGATTTCTAGGAGGAAATCCTGCATGAAGCAGGAAATCCTACAGGTGGCTTGTGTGCTTCTTTGGTCTACTGCCAGCCTGATCCCCATTCAGCCTCTCTCTGAGCACTGGATATTAGTTTCAAGAGAAAGTGCAGCGGCTGAGCTGGATCCATTTTGATTTTGGACCATATCAAATTGGGACATTGAGCATGGCTCAGCACATCATTTAACACATAAATGTAGCATCATTTAGCAGCAAGACTACAAGCTCCAAGGGAGCACGTTTTCCAGAGCATACATCCACTCACTTTGGTATTCCCAGATCTGTGAGCAAACCCTTCAACTAACAGAGGATGCCTTTGAGGAAGTCAGACTCTGTTCACCTGCCTTCCGAGGTGCACATGCATGGAGCTCTGTTTCTGTTAGCATCCAAGGGGACATAACTGAATGAGAGGTCTATGGAGTTTGCTCAGATACAGTTCCCACAGCTGAATTGGAATTTCAAAGTCGAGATTTATTGCTTACCTGTTAGAGGTGGTGGAGTGTGCAAAGCTGGTGTATCTTTTCTCCTTGGCTTTTTTTGCTCCTGTTCAGCATTTTGGGAAGCTAGGATGGTTTTACCTTTTCTTGGGGTTTTTTTGAGGTCACAGCTCTTAATCAGCTGCTCTGAAAGATCTTCTGCAAGGAAAAGAATAATAGAAATCGAAACTAAGGGGAAATAATAAACCAGACAGTGAAAAGAAAGGCTTTAATAATAGCGCTTTAATCCAAGTAAACTAAAATGCCCATGAAGAAACATCTTTTAAATACTTAGAAACTCATCGAAAGAGGCCTCTGTGCCATACTACATGGGAGTCAAGTGACTTAGGTGGTCCTTCTGTGTTGTAGGCAGTAGATATAAAACAAAGGGAGAGTTGTGGGCAGCTGTGTGTTTACATGGTAGAGGGAAGGCTGCATCATTGTGAGCAGAGGTTCCATGGCTACCCCTGTTTTATCCAGTGCTGACTGTGTGGACTGTGTCTTCAAGAGTTACAATGGCACTTTTATGAAAGAAAGTTCTACATGTGTGGGGTCAGCCTGCGGTACTGCTAAAATGAGCCAGTCAATATATTGTTCCCTTCAAGAGTTGCCTTTGTTTCAAGAGCTACTGAGCTTTTGATTTACATAATATTATACTGGATTTCTGCTTTTCCCCTAAAACAAGCCTTGACTCAGATGACTCAGAGAGTCAGCATGTCTTTTTCTACAAGAGACTGCATTTTTGGGTGCTTATGCAAGCTGAAAATATTGAAGGTAATCTGTTGTGGTGGTGCATCCTCCTCCCTCACCTCCTCTTTAGGCCTACTCTTTGATCTCAGCAGCTTCTGACAAGCCTTGGTTGAACCAGCTGAGTGGTGAAGTGCCCCTTCACTGTACCAGTTGGGTGGGGAAGCATCCCTGACCATACTGGGTGCTCTTGCATGGTAAAGGTAGGAACAATTCTGACCATACCAGGAACATCAGCTGCCCAACCAAGGTGAGGAACAAAGGATAAACAGTTATTCGTGTTAGCCTTGGTAAGTAATTTACCTGAATTGTAGCCCAAGTGAAATGGTACCATTGTTAGGAGACCTTGTGAAAAAAATGAATCATAGCCTGAGTGCAACAGTACTATTGTTACTGGATTTTTTGGGAAAAATTATCTTGTGACCCTATAAACAGCAGTGCTAAGTGAGGCCTCCCAGAGTTTGAGCTCTCCTGGAAAGCAGTGGGCTGCACCAGCAACTCCGTTTGAGTGGGATGCCTCTCAGAGCTCACAAACCCTCAGGTTTGGAATACTTGAAACATCGTCGCTGAAGACGAGGTCTAGGTGGATTACACACACTGCTTCAGGGCCAGCCCATGCCTGTTGAGAAATGCTAAGGGATTTGATATAAATACTTCACTGAGCTTAAAGGGAATTTTTGATAAGTACCTTTACACACATAGATGTAGATGTGTATATTTCTTTCCCTGTGTGCATGCAAGTGAATTGATTATGTTATGAATGTTGTTATTTTGAGTTTATAATTAACTCATTGTTATAATTGTTGCAAATCCTATTGAATCACTTCTTAAAATGTTAAATTAGTCAATGATCAGGTGCTTTTGCACCCTTTTCTGGTATCCATATCGTCTGCGCTCTAACCCTCTTGCATCCCCAGTCTCTGTGTAAATTATTCCAAACTGCTTCTAATCCAATTTACTTATGTATGCTTCATCTATGTAGTAAGTAATAGAATGAACCTTGCCATTTAACTCACACTCTCATAAATTCAGATTAAAGCCTGTATTTTGCCATGACTTTGACAGTGATTCTTTAAATGTTCTAACTACTCATTTGCGACACCTTTCATTATTATCATCACACAAACCAATGCTCTAAATTCTTAAAAGCTGCTTGTTTGCCTTCATCTGGGTTCCCCACACCCTTACCCAACCCCTGACTGCAGACTTGGATGCAAGCGCAACTTCATTCCAGGCTCTCCGAACACTATTTAAGACATGTTATGTCTGTGAGCCTGCAGATTGTAAAAATGGTGCCTGTGGCTAGAAATGCCATGTGACATGACAGAACTAGGATACCTTCCTTGCGGGACAAATAAACAAAATGTATAAAATTCTGCTTGCCTGTGGTGAGACACTTTTTTTGACAAGCAAGTGAAATTGCCTTTGTGTTTCATTATTGTCATCGCAAGGGTGACGATGAGCAAAGAGATTTTTGTTTCTGGGTAGCTAAATCTTCAGGGCAATTTTGCAAGATGGGAGTGAAGTAATAGCATTTGAAGTAGAAGCAAAGACCATGAATACACAAAAAGCACATCTGTCAAGTATGGAGTCTGGTATTCAGGAGAGTGGCAGAGCAAAGACGACTAGTATGCCTAGTCTAAAAAGTAGGTTCAAGAAAGGAAACAGATTGATGATGAAGGAGGAAACATTTTTAGAAAGCTGCCCCAATGAAGTTAAATGGAATGCTTGAAATCTTTTACTCAAATTGCATATGGAAAATGTGTTTAGGTAAAGCTTAGCTATAGCCTAGCTTTCAGTTTACTGTGATATAAATGAAGAAACTGCTCTATGTTTTCTACTGGAAAAAGATCAATGACTCTTTTAGCTTTCTCCTCTTTAATTAATTTCACTCTAGAATTTCAGCTGATATTTATATGCAGGAAAAATGCTCTTTGCCTTTCCATCTGGCATCAGAAGTGTCAGCAGAAGGTGTAATTATCCGTTTTCATCAGGGCTCAGTTGTATCACTGGAGGGGAAAAGTGGACACTGGACAGGACTTTATGATGTCAAGGCAACACCTCTCATTAGTGCAATGACATCATCTAATAACACTTACCTAAATGGTTACACTGTGAATCTCGCTTATCCAGTCTGTCATCTGGCATATCAAGTGGCTGAACACATTCTGTTGACATCATTGAAATAGGCTTTTCTCCTCCTTTGAAGATACTACACACACACAGACACACACAAAAAAAACCCAAAACAAACAAATGAACAAAACCGCAAACCAAAACAAAACAAAACAAAAAAAACCAAAACAAAACAACAAAAAAAGCACAACCATATTGGTGTTATGTATCCACTTGCCAGCCAGATCATGATGAGCTCTTGTCTTCCAGCTGCCCTCTGTCATGCAGTCTGCTGGCCTGATTTCAATCACCCATGCTGAGATGCACCCTTGCTGTAAGGAACCCACAATAGCACGGGTTGGCTCTACAGAAGAATACTGACTTTGATCATACAGAAAGTGCTATCTCATACACATAGTAAATTACTAGGGTTTTTTCTGGTTTTTCTAGTTTTCTTCTCCATTTTTTCTCAAAGATAAACTAAGGATCATATTTGGTGTTTATTATATGATCCAACTTTAATTATGAGTTCTGTTGAGTTAGTCTTATAAGTACGGCTCCTCTAAGAGACCTTGAAGACCCTGAAGATCCAAGTTTAAGGGCTGCCTCAGAAAGATGACCAGTGCACACAGACCCCAAAGCCAGCATGAAGTAGACTTCCTCATCACTTTGGTAAGAGCATAGAAACCCATTTCACTAGGCTGTTTATTTGTCCATGCTCTGTAAGTCTCAGTAGATTGCTGTTTTGGCTGGTTTACCCCTCTTTAGGCATAGCTGCAGTCGGTGTTGAAGCCCATCCTCCTACCTGAGCTTCCCCAGCACCTCCCCCAAGCTGAGAGTTGGTCCTGGACTCAGTAACTCTGGGCTGCCACAGATGCCATCACAGAGAGAAGAAAATTAGACCATTTTTCACTGCTGATTGTTTCTAGGTTGCTTAGCAGAAACCCATCAGAATGACAAAAGCAATGTTAAAGGAAGAAGACCTTCAACCTGAAGGCACAGTCCAAGTGATCTTGGTATCTCTCTTCATCCAGCAACAGTTGTGCTAGTTTCTTATGCACGACCTCTACTGTCCATTTTCAGGGAATAAGAGCAGACTGTGACTTCCTTGTAAGGAGGAGAAAGGCAATGAGGAAGAGAAAAAAACACAGGAGACAATAAGAATAGTGGATGAAAGACAGGTTGAATTGGGAAAATGAATGAAGGGGAGCTGGAGAAGGAAAGGCAAATAAAAGAAAAGTGAAAACAAAGGCAGCTGGACAAAAGCAGTGAAAAGGATGATGGGAAAATAGGAGACTGAACTGTGGGACTTTATTTTTATCTTGCTGGAGGTAAAGAAATTACCTTACTGTTTCTCTGTAAATTGCAGTGGTTGTTTGTCAACAAGAAACAGAACAGCAGGAGAATTAACCTCATTTTTATGACTGCATCTATATAAAGAACAGTTCATTCTTATAAGCAAAATGCAGTCACATAAATATTTGCAAAAGAAAGTATGAAAGGTTGCACTGAGCTAATTCTTCAGGGGATGGAAAAACATATCTTAAATGCCAGTGACTTCAAAGTAAGTGGAGTAACACTGCCTAGCAGCATAAAATTTTACTCAACTCATGTATGTGTGGGATTAACTCCCTTACATTTTAGTATTTAAAATTTACAAAAATTTGTAACATTCTACAAATTCTTAAAACCTTACTGAATAAGGCCTGTATAAAGGGTTTGACCTCTGGATGTTCACTGTAGAACTGTCCCCATCCAGCCTCACATATTTACTAAAGTATTATACCACCTCAAGACTTCATTTGCACTTAGAGCAAGAAAAATCTCCCACTTGAGAAGACTCTACATAAAGAAGTCCTTGAATACACCTTAGCATGGTACGGTTGCTCTGTTTCTCCACTGTATAAATAAACTATAACTATGGCTTAAAATGAAGCAGACATAATTTTATTTAAAACAAAAATTTATAATCTGACCAAATGAAGGTGCACACTGCATTTTGTGACTTGAGGGAGTTTTATTCTTCAATGCCATTTGATTTTATTGAATTTGATTAGGGCACACTGGCTAAATATTATGATTGTATAAATGTTTTATAACATATGATTAATTTTGGTTAGATTTCATTAAGTTGTTCCATTAATTATTTCACCTAATAAAAATTAAGCTTGTAAAGAGACTTGATATTGGATTGGTATATGCAGATTATGAGAAAATTGCACCATTGTTTTTTCTTAATATAGTAGTTTGAAAAATATTATTCTAAAATACAATTCTTAGATCTATGTTCATATTTTCATGGTCACACATGCCAAGCCCTTGGCATCTTCAGTGCTTAAAATACTGCTTTACAGCCTAACTTCTGACACTTCCCTTCCTCTTTTTTTTTTTTGTAAGTTTGCCCTTCAGCCAGCATTGCCTTGCTTACAAAAGTGTTTACACACGGCACATTGTGGCAGTCTGTGTGACAAAAGAATAAAAAGAGGCAAATTACCAAAATATATCATGGGTTTTGGCATCTTGGGTGTATATGCATTGGGTACAATGTGTGGACCTGTGAGTGCTGTTACATCCTCACAGCTGTTACATTACACACAGAGCTCTCCTTCAAAGGAGGGTTGCTGTATGTGAGCATTGCAATAGTACTTTTCCAAACCATTAAAATATATTCCTGTAACTAAGGAAACGCATTCCTCAGTAACATTTTACATGTGAAGGTTGCCTGCTATGGGGACTGTATGTCCCCACTGAATTGAAGCTTGTTCTCAATTTTCATGTGTTAAGTGCAACACTTTTCCTAGCAGCCTTCACACTAGCACAGTTTGCACTCTCTGCTGCCATCAGTCACCTTGGTAGCTAATGCTTGCTATTTATATGATGAACTAAGGTTCATCATATAAATATAAGGGTTTTTTCTTGCACTTTGTTATATCTCTTGACATAATGATGCACAGTCATCTTTTATGCATTTATAATGGTTACAGTGGAGCTCTAAGTCACATTCAACAGAAGATACTTCCTGAAATGCTATAGATCTTTCCATATTAATTAGGATTCAATGGTCATTTAGCCTGAGACTTTGGTACAATGCAGATAGGCTGTACCACACCCCTGCAAAGATATAGGACTAAAGGAGTTGCCTTGAGCCTCTTATTTCTAGGAAAAAATAGAGCTGATTGAGACACCTGAAATACTTTCCTAAGAGTTGAGAGAAACTCTAGTTTTGCCTATATGGTTTTTTATTGCCCCTTGTTAAAATTTTTGGCATTCTATAGGATTGGCTCTAGTTACAGACAGATGAGGACAATGAATGATAAGTCAAACTGAAAAGTGCAGGTATGACTAAAAGCTACTTCAGCCTCATGTAAATGAACTTTCATACTGAATCACTGTCGTATAACAGTAGGACTCCTTTGGGCACACATTCGTGTAAGACATAGTGATTCAGATGAAAAATATCTGAACTTTTCACCTTCTGGATGTCAGCTTTGGATTTTTAGATAGCTTAAAGTGCATTCTATTTTTTTTCAAAATTCTCAGTTGCTGTACATGCTTGATTGAAGTGCCCAAATAAAGCTATCCTATCACTCACTAAGATAGTCTTAAAATACACAAAGGCTTGCAAATAATATGATTCTTTTCTTTACTTAAATTGTGGGTTTCCATAAAAAAGGGCACCAATGCAACCAGCTCCAGGCTTCAGTTATGTAAAAATATTTTGCTGGAGACAGACAAAGGAGCTGGTTTTGGTCTACTGTTTTAATGCACAGTTGGTTTAATGTAGATATTTGTTTCACAAGTAATCAGCCTAGAGCTTAGGAAATACTCAGTAAAGCTACTCACATATTTCTACTAAAATGATGTAAATCTTTCAAGGCCATCTGATACTGTGACATTTAAACCAACTTATGATGAAATCTCATGAGAAAAATCTACCTTGTAAGATAGAAAACTAAAGCTTTCAGAACAAAACTAGACTTTTCATTTGATCCTGAACTAGGTATGGAAATGGCTTGGGGGGAAAGTTAAATCTCCATTTCTTGTCTTCTCTTAGGGTTTGAATGGTTCTAGGTGCTACGTGAAAATTAGGTACCTAGGGATAGTTGTATCTAGTCTCAAGGGACAATGCAGTTCTCAAATGAGTCATCAATAGGTGATCATTCTTATCTATAAAATGGAGAAATGAAGTTCTGATATGCAATTCTTATGAAAGTTTACAGGGGCTATATGGGCATCGATGTCAATACTCCTCACCATTGTATAGTAAGGCTCAAGGTATGTTGAATACTTAGAATTTCTGAACTGACCCTTTGTAAGGTATCCACAAACTGTCCTTCTGAAGACTTCAGTAGACCATGTGGTGTTGTATGTGAATTTTTTTTCTTCTTGTTTGGAGGAGTGTTTTGTTTCCGCAACTGACAAAATCCCCAAGAAAAGCATGTGCTAGTTTCCAAGACATGCACAATTATTAAAGAAACCATTGGCATGTTGACAAGGATGCTACGTAAATAAAAGTACTCTTGAGATGATCCTTGTTGGGTAGCAACAGGCAATCTGAATTTAATAAGTATATTTTGGTAGTTGGTAATACACATTTCCACAAAAGCCTGTGTGACACTATGTACATATCTTCTGAAGCCACAGCAATTTGTAAGAACATATTTTGCCATGAGCTGAGAGAAGAGGCAGAAAGAGAGGCAACTGAGGCCCTGGAGTGGGACAGCGTGCACACATGCTTGTCCACATTCCCATAGGCAGGGCCTGACCTTGCTGCTGCTGGTGTATGAGAGTATGATGGTGTATGGAAATGAGAGTAAGTAGGAATATCTTACAGGGTGCTTCCCCATGCAGACATGAGACAGAGGCTGTACTGCAATAGTTACAGTCCAGCTTTGACCAAAAGCAGCATACTGCTGTTGTGCCCAAAGACCTGCTCTGGCATCAGGGTTTGCTCTTTAAGACTGGTACCTCTTCTCCCATCATATGCACATTTACGGTTTCCTGTCAGGTTTTGATTATTAAAATATTTTAAATTGGTTTGTCCCTTTCTGTCTGGTTGCAATGAGCGCATGAGCAAAGAGGGTCAGGCAGGCTCCCAGCATCCTTCCCTGCTCTTCTGTTGCCTCCCTAAACCTATGTGGGAGGCAAAGACAGACCTGTCCTTCCTTCTATAGCATGTCCTTTGCAGAGGGCCCTATAGTGCAAGTAGGTTCCTTATTTGCATTAAGTCATTTACAAATTCATAAAGAAGGGATAAGATACTATCCCCTGGATGTAGCCATCTCACACCCACCTTCCCAAGACAGAAATCACATGAAACAGCTCAGGGGCCAAGGGGGATGGTACAACACCAGGCTACATTTGGCTTCTTACACCTTCACTCAGCAGGCAGACTTGGCACCTTTATCAGCAAATATGCACCTCATACCCCTTCCTATCCTAGCCCAATTGCAACTGCTTCCTGGCAAGTCATAAATAAAGCAAGACAACCAGTCTACTGCAGTCAGAGTAGAAAACAGATGTCCTAAAAGTAGAAAGTCTGGATGTTCTTGTGTTGCATTCCAAACTTTTCGTTACAAGTTTTACCATATGTTTAATGTTACCCTATTGGAGTAATGCCTTCGTGGGCACAGAAGACAGCTTTATGCTAATACACAGAGTTTCTTCTTCAGTTATTTAGGCACTAGGCTGCTCTCTCCAGGTATTCTTTTCAGATTAGTCTGAATTTTACTTTTCTAAAACATATTTAATTCTTTTTAGCAAACACTTAGATATTGGAAAGCTGGATCTGAGTGCCTTCTTCCACCCCAAAACTTTGCTACTACTAATAACACAGATACAGAAATATCACAGAATTGTCTGGGAGCAGTTTCTTCTCACAGAGAGTGTGCTTCTGGGCACTATTTCAAAAGCCTTGGCTGGGCTGTGGACTGATTCCCAATAGCACCCATAAACATGTAAAATAAATAAAAATAACAACAGCTGAACTTTTGATTGACTGAAAAATTGTGATATACATTTGCACAGGTTCTGGTCACAAAGTTTTTGCCTTTGGAAATAATAAAAAATACAAAGTCTTCCTTAATTATTTCCTTAAAGTACCAATTAACCCCTTGCACATGCCAACCTTAGTAGTGGGATAAGAAGTCCTGATACCAATTCCCACTCTGCTGGATTGTATTATCTGCCTGTGAACTGTCCCCGCAGTTAAAGTTAGTTGAAGCAGTTTTCTCTTAAGTACTCTCCCTGCCATGACCCCATCCATGCATTCCAGCCTCAGTGCAGTCACACCTCAGTTTTCTCCAAATGGGACCATCCCAAGCCCACTCCCTGCAGAGTGGGACCCTTTCTTGCTAGTCCCCAGAGCCCCAGAGGTGACAAGGCAATTTGCCATGCTGGTGGTGACTGCTAAAAAAAAAAAAAAAAAAAAGAGAGAGATTAAAATCAGGAAGCCAACCAAGCCAACCAGCTGAGAGAGAAGCATGCAAACATGTGGCTGAAGTACTTACAAAGCGGTGCGAGGTGGTGAGGAAGGTGCAGTTTGGTGTCGAGGCTCGCTGGAGGGGCTGGGGCTGCAGCTGACGCTCTTACCTGTCTTATCTAGGGAGAAGTAGGAGCCGTCGCTATGGCAACGCCATGCTCAGGCGTCCTCTGGGAGGCTGGGGAACAGCATCACCAGTCCCTGACCCACCAGTGGATTCTAATCCTGTTTCGTTCCTCTTCCACGAGTTGCAGAGGCCGAAGGAGAGGAATCAGAATGCAGAGGAGACGGGCATTGCCTCAAGGCTGAGGCACCGTTCCTGCCAGATGACCAAGAGCCACAAATGCTGGTGCTCTCAAAGAAGTAGGGGAGGATTCAAAAGCTTTGGCACAGAGAGCCAAAAAGTGAGCTGTAGCTGCCGTGTCTAGAGGCACAAAGAAAATGACAAGGGGAGGGAGCAAGACTGATGACCAAGACTGATGACGTCAGGGACCCAGGGGAGAGCTGAGGGTAAAAGTGCAACGTGTCCAGGAGCAGCACCGTAAGCATGAAAACTGATGGACAGTCTCTCCAGCACTGAGTTGCAGCAATGACTGCAGTGTTTGTGTATATATCTGGCCACAACTGGTTATACAAGCATGGTATTTATGGGGCCAGGCAAGGAGTTTTCCATGGCTGCCAGTTGTTTGCCAGTAGAGACCAATCTCTCCTATACCTTTGGATGGAGCTGTTGTTTCAACTGAAAGAAAAATATACGAACATGCCTGACATTAGAAAAACTCTGAAAGAAATACTCTACTCAGTGGTGGGAATTGCCCTTCTCTTAGTATTCATTTGCAACAAAAATGCTTTTGTCTAGGCCTTTTTATTAAAACATCTTTAAAAACTGTGATTACTCACGGTTGAGGTTGTCTTCTCCTCTTTTCCCCCACTCAGCAGCTGCAATTCAAAAGCACCAGTGTGCATAGCATACTTTAAATTAGTCAAGGTTCCTTTCATAAATAGCATATTGTACAGAAGGCCAAAGGGACAAAGTGCTAATTGCCAGCCCTGCAAACTGTGCAACACCCTTGGATCCTTTATGTATCATATGCAGTTCTGCAAAATGCCAAGCATGTTAAATGCTTTAAAGGCACCACCTGAAAGAACTGTGAGCTTTCCCCATCAATGCCTGGGAGAGAAAAGCACATTCATTACTCTACAGAGTGTAAATCACCTGTGTTTAGGTGAATCAACGTCCAATCTTCAAGTTCATAAATGCACTCTTGAAAAAATTAAGCATAGGCTCCTAAGATTTTTTTGAGTCAAGATTAAGATTTCTAACTGAAAAGAAATCAAACAAACAAACAAAAGCAAAATAAAAAACAACCCCCCCTTCAAACTCCTCCAAACCATACAACCCCAAAAATTGATTTTTATGATTTCCTCATCTCCATCATTGCCAAGACCACTCTTTTGCAGTGAATTTTAAATAAAACCCCTTTATTTTCCATTGAAATGCCTTTTACTTAGAAACACAGGTTATGCCATATTTTTCTATGCACTGAGAAAAATCAGAATGAGATGACTGAATAGTAGGCTCATGAAACACAATGCTCAAATCAGAAATACCTTTTTGAAACTCAGCTCAAGACTGCCTTTTTATTGTCCTGATTGAAAAAGTGAGTCATTCATTTATAGCATTAAAGAATTCCCTGAGGGTGAGGAAATAATTTCCTGTTCTAGCCATCAGATCCCAAGGTTGCTTTGGGAATATTACAGGATAGGTTTACTCAAAAGGAAAGCAGACTATCACACTCAGCAAGATTACGTATCCAGCCCTGGTCATCCCTTAGATTTGTTAGCCACCACCTGATGCCATGAAGCATTTAACTACAGCAGCATATTTATCCCAGTCTTTACAGAATGGCTGTTGCATTACCAGTGTGATGGAGGATTTACTCTCAAACCTGATCTTTTAAATGCTTACAGTTGTTGTCCTGCTTTTAAGAGGGTTGGGACTTCTGCCAGCTTTCTAATCCTTCCTGCTCAGTTATTTCACAATAATAGTTGGAAAATAGTCTGAGTTCGTAAAAAATCTGCACTTTAATCCTCTTTCTATGTACATGAGTATTCCCATCTTGGGAGAAGTAGTTCTTGGGTAACTACTCCTGTAGTTAAAGACAAGAACATATCTAAAAGTTTCCAGGCCAGTGCTTTAGAAGACAAGTGGTGCAGCTTTGACAAATAGGAAAGTAGGAGAAGATCTAACAAAAAACATAAATACAACACATACACACACACATGCACACATGTACCTACATGCATGCATGTTTGTATAACTATTACCTTCCTATGTGTTTGTTATTGGTCATGGATGTGGGGCAGAGCAGCTGATGCTGCCTGCAGAGGTGATATGGTTTGAAGCTGACTCCCTGCCAAGTCTCCAAACCTTACCACAAGAAGTCCCCCCCCAAACCTCAGGGAGAAGGGGGAAAAAAACCCAAGAGAACCGAAACGAGAGAGAGACAGCTAAAGTAGTATATATAAATATATTTACACTTATGTTACAGTTATATACAATTGAAATATATATACAATTTCACAAGGAAAAAGGAAAGGGAAGGGGGAAGGGAAAAAAGGAACAAAACCAAAATAAAATATATATATATATCCCGATCAGCAGCCCAAGATCTAGCAACTAAAAGAATTAGCAAAAGACTGTTACTAGTCTCCTTGGAACAACAGAAAGTCACGCTGGAATGACTGCCGGCAACCCCTGTCTCCCAAGGTCGGCAAGGCCTTACCAGGCCTCACTCTCCAATACGACAGACTCAACAGCAGGGAAACCCGCACCTCCAAGCCACCAGAAGGAAAGAGCGAAGGTCTTTCCTCCTTTCTTCTTGTAGCCTGGCTTACGTAAAAATTGTGGGGAATACTGGGTAAATCTGGGCCCTTCCTTGGTTACAAACTGGTCACTAAGGAAGGCCTAGACTAAACTACCACAAGAGGCAAGGATGAGTCTGCTGGGAAGGAGGTGAAATTGTACTGCAAAGAAGAGAAACGGGACACTGGAGATGACCAGGTAAGTCATATCACAGTACCTTCCCACACAAAACTCTCTCTAAAGAGGTGAAAGTGAACATGATTATCAGTACCATGAAGGCCTGTTGCCTTAAAAATGATGTAGTTGTATCCTCTGTATGTTCCATATCTTCTTCAGAAGACCATGAAAATCTATAAAACTAATATACAATCAAAGACACTTGTACCATTTTAGTTCTGTAGGGTTTCGTATTCAATTGTTTACATTAAGATTTTTTCAGATTTTGCTTTCAACGCTGACACTACTTTCAGATGAAATAAGAACTGCTGGTAAGATGGAAGTGAAGGGTGATTTCACTTTTATAGATCTTAGGCATCTGAGAACTGTTAATGATTTCTCCTCGGGTCGCTTCTCTATGCGGTAACATGTGGTTACATCCAAGATAACATGTAGCAAGGGATCATGGGAGTTGTAGTTTTCCAAGCTCTCACGCACGCTCAAACAATATTTGATTGTCATTGGTTGGAACACCTAAGTGTTTTGAAATAAACCTCAATTCTGCTCTGGCACTGGTTCATGTCTCAGCGGGGTTCATGCCTTAAACAACACCTCAAATGGCGCCCAAACAGGGACTACAGCAGGTTACTGGGAACCAGGAGCAGCAAGCTCTGGGGTACCTGTCTGGAGGTGTCCATATCGCCAAAATCAAAAGGAAGAAAAGGAAGAATTCAGTGCACTGGGTTACCTCTGCAAAAAAGGGACAAAAAGGACAAAAAGAGGACAACAGAGCTTCAGCACACAGAGGTAACCAAAACACTTTGGCAAATATGGGAGGGTGGTTTACCCATCAGGAGGGAATTACTCCAGAAATCAAACAAACAGATGAAGCTATCACTTGATTTTTACAAGAACAGAACATAAACATAGAAGAAAGCAAGTTATGGGACTTATTATATTGGATTTCTTTGCATGAACCTGCATTACCTCTAACTGGACCTTATCAAATATCATCTTGGAGGAAAATAGGGAACAAACTCATTGAAAAAGCCATGGAAGGACATTATGATAGTTTTAAATGTGCACTACAGAAAGACAAATGCAACCGGGAAAATAGACTCTTCCCCCCTTCACTCCTTTCCCCTCAACCCCCCCCCTTCAATCCCAGCCCCCCCACCAACCGCGTGGCGTGGGGGATTTCCCTGAGGGGGGACAGTGCAGCAGCAGCATGTGGTGTAGAAAGGCATGGCGCTGGGTTTGCGACACAGCCATATACTGCATTCGCCATGCCCCCCCCACGCCTGCAGCCAGCGGCAGCGGGGCTGCTGTCGACCGGAGCCACCACGGAGCAGTGCGCTGAGTGACGCGGGGCTGCTGGGGCAGCTTCGGCGACTGTGCAGCCAGCTGTGCCAAAGTTTGCTGGGATCGCCTCTCCTACCAAGTTTACGGCGGAGCTGCTCACAGCTGTGCCACCCCACCCAGGCTTGGGGGGTGGTGGTGCAGGCTCAGCGACTGGGCTTTGGGCCAGGCGTGCCAGCTGGGTGACAGCATGGCTGGTGGGCGGTTTCGTAGTGGAGCCGCCCACAGCCATGCTGCCTGCCCTTGGAGCTGCGGTGGCAGGAGCTGCTGGCTTTGCGGGGACTGACCGCCGCGCTCCATGTGCCGGCACCACCAACCCCGCGGCGGCGTTTGCGGCAGGCGCAGAGCCAGGATGAGCTGGAGCTGGGGTGGTGGCAGCGGGGGGGGACACTGGCTTTATACCAGCACCCACGGCTGCAGCTGAGACCGTACCGTATAGAGCACCAAGCGGTGCTGCTGGAGCCGCTGTTCTGGCGGCCCCAGACGTGCTGTTGCCATCTGTGGAGGCAGGGGCGCAGCACACGGGTGGCTGCCATGGTAGTAGGGGAGGCATGTTAGTTTCACCAGGTTGTGCGGCAGCTCCGACCCCAGGACCATCACGAGGTGACCCTGCGGCAGGGAGGGCGCAGCCGCCTTGCTTCTGCTGTGGGGCAGAGGTGGGGGTGCCTCTCCAGCCTATGGCGGTTGCATGGTCAACATGGGGAAGGAGAGTGGCAATGGAGGCACCGCCGTGCCCTTGCCGCACGGCGGAAGTGAAGCCTTTATTTCCAACACCACCCCCAGGTTCAGGCATTTCTCCGGGGAGGGGGGGGGGATGACTATGACGAGCAAATAGACGGTGAGTCTATAGAGGGCACAGAAGGGGAAACAGCTACAGGCTCGGGCAGGGGTCTCTCCATAGGTTTATGGGATAAATGCAGGGAGGAAGCATCTCGTGTGGGTGACTAGAAAGTAGTAAATGCAAGCCCTGTTATACATCGACCC